TCGTGAATCTCCCCATCTTCTATGGCAGTTAGAGAGGCGGAGGAGATCTTCACCCACTGGGTCACTCCCCAAATGGCTGCAGTAGCTGGGGCTGGGCCAGGCCAAAGCCAGGAGCTTTATCCAGGCCTCCAGCATGGGTGCAGGTTCCCAAGGATTTGGACCGTCTTTCCCTGCCTTCCCAGGCACGTCATCAGAGAGCAGCCAAGACTCAAGCCTGTGCCCGTGCTGGGATGCTGGTGTCTCAGGTGGTGCTGAGCCCCTTAAGCCACACCAGTGCCCGGGAGCTTCTTGAGGGGCCAGGCCAGGTGCACTGCCGACCCCAGATCCCACCCGCACCTGGTGCAAGGCAGACGCTAGGACTCTTTGGATTGGGTTTTAAAGTGGTGGGGAGAGAGATTCAGTGAGACTAATTTTCTCAGTTCTTAGTACTGCAGTCTCTGAAGTAGTCTGTGAGTTTAACAGACATGGCCTGAGCCCTGTTCCAGGTGAGTTTTGTGCGGATAGTTCTGGGGGTGATACAGCCATGACCTAAATGGTTCTGTGGGAAACCCAGGGATGCTGTGACCTCGGTGACCCCCCAGTCCCGCCTGCAGGGGAGGCTGCAGGCTCAGCAAAGGCCTCTTGAGGTGCTGCTGTCTGAGCTGAGGTTCACAGGCCCGGTGGAAGTTGGCCAAGGGAAGGGAGTGGCTTCCAGGCCCCAGGAACAGCTGCACAGACTCAGGACAGGCCGGCCCCTTGGGCCAGGCATAAAGAGGCCCAGATCTGCCCATTCATGGCTGTGCTTCCTGCCTGAGCGTCTCTCTTGTTGGTTCATGCTGGGGCGTAGTAGAAGCCAAGACAGCCTTGGTCCCTGCCTCACTGGCCCACAGCCAGTGGGCGAGCCGAGCCTGCCCGCAGACAGTGACAGCCTCATGCTATCTGACATGTGACGGGGAGAGTCCAGGGGCCTGGGGAAACTCGGGGGTACGCTTCGTGCCTGGCCGTGCTTGGGGCCACAGCAGTTGCCAGCCCCTGTGGCTTACAGTTGAGAGTGATGGGGCCTCTCTGTTTCTTCAATGCAGGTTTCAACCGCAGTGGAGGTGGTGGCTACAACCAGAACCGCTGGGGTAACAACAGCCGGGATAACAACAACTCCAACAACCGAGGCAGCTACAACCGGGCCCCCCAGCAACAGCCGCCACCTCAGCAGCCGCCGCCGCCACAGCCGCCCCCACAGCAGCCGCCGCCGCCGCCCAGCTACAGCCCTGCTCGGAACCCCCCGGGGGCCAGCAGCTACAGTAAGAACAGCAGCATCCCTGGCGCCAGCGCCAGCACCAGCACCCCCACCGTCAGCAGCTACAGCCCTCCACAGGTGAGAGGCTGAGCCCGGGGTCACTGCCTGTGCACACGTGTGCTCTTGAACCCAAGCAGGTGAGAGGAGGGTGTTGTGAAGGAGCCGCCCACGCGTGTTCCAGTCACAGGTCTCTTCCTGCCTCCAGTCCACCCTTTCTCAGGGCCATGCACTGGTCTGGGATGGACCCTGGGCATTCTCAGATCCCCTCAACACCCTTCCCAGAACCTGCCACTACCCTCAGGGAGACACGGTGTGAGCACTGGCCCCTCTGGCAGGTGGATCTCTCTTGGCTGTGTCAGTGGCCTCACTGGGCCCCAGGAAAGCACTGGCGTGGAGTTGGCTTTCACCCAGCTGGAAAGGGCTGACCCGTTTGTAGCCAGGCTGTGAAGACCAGGGCCCTGGGCGTGGTGAGTGTCCGCTGTCCTGAGCCTCACGCCCAGGTAGCTCTGGGCCCAGGTCCAGCCGCGGGCTGCTGGTGCTCTGGCTGCAGGACGCACAGGCCACTGCTCCCCAGGCTGCCTGCGTGTCACTGCTCAGCCGTTTCCTGAGCGCCTTCCGCGCCAGGCCTGGGAGCAGCTGCCGGGAGACGGCTGGATGGACCCCAGTCCCCGTGGAGCCAGTGTTTCCTACGACAGGAGCGGAGTAGATTCCACCTCAGCCCCCAGGCCCACGACATCCGGTTTATGACCTTGGACAGAAGCTCTCTGGGCCTCATTTTCCCCACAAAGGCTCACGGTACTGTGAGGGGTTGTAGACTTTTGTCGTTTATTTGAAAAGCAGAGGAGGAGTCGGGGACAGAGCTCCCATCTGCTGCTTCCTTCCCCAGATGCCCTCAGCAGCCAGGAGCAGTCAGCCCACTGCCAGGAGCAGGGGCTCAGCCCAGGTTTCCCTGTGGGCGGCAGGGCCTAACCACCAAGCCATCACCTGCGGCTCCCTCTATCAGGAGGAAGCTGGAATCAGGCACGACTGGAGCGCGAACCCAGAAGTCCAGGCATTCCATTAATGGGATATGGGCACCCCAAGCAATTTCTTTCTTTCTTTTTTCTTTTTTTTTTTGAAAGCTTTTTTTTTTTTTTAATTATTTATTTATTTGAAAGTCAGAATTACACAGAGAGAGAAGGAGAGGCAGAGACAGAGAGAGGTCTTCCATCCGTTGGTTCACTCCCTAGTTGGCTGCAACGGCCAGAGCTGCACTGATCCGAAGCCAGGAGCCAGGAGTTTCTTTCAGGTCTCTCACACAAATGCAGGGGCCCAAGGACTTGGGCCATCTTCCACTGCCTTCCCAGGCCATAGCAGAGAGCTGGACTGGAAGTAAAGCAGCCGGGACTTGAACCGTTGCGCATATAGGATGCCAGCACTGCAGGCGGCAGCTCTACCCACTAAGCCACAGCGCCGGCCCCCAAGCAGCTTCTATGCCAAATGGCACCATAGCTTATGAATTAAAGCTCTGGGACTAAACCAAGTAGGCTGGAGCTCTTTTTTATTTTTTTTAAAGATTTATTTATTTGAAAGAGTTACACAGAGAAGGAAAAGCAGAGAGAAAGAGAAAGGGGCCTTCCATCAGCTGGTTCACTCCACAAATGGCCACAGTGACTGGAGCTGGGCTATTCCAAAGCCAGAAGCCAGGAGCTTCTTCCAGGTCTCCCACGCAGGTGCAGGGGCCCAAGGACTTGGGCCATCTTCTGCTCTCCCAGGCCATCAGAAGTGGAGCAGCTGAGACTCGAACCAGCGCCCATATGGGATGCTGGATTTGGCTTTACCAGCTACGCCACAGTGCTGGCCCCTGGGCTGGAGTTCTTTTTAGCTGTGTGACCTTGACCCAGTGGTTTCACGTTCTTGAGCCTCAGCATCCTATTATAATGGAATTGGTGGACTCTCCCTCAGAGTCTGTACAGCAATGACATGGTTAACGACACAGCCTGTGCCAGGCAGCACCGTTGTTCTCAGCAGAGCTTGCCGTAACTGAGGCTGGCACACAGGAGCTGACTGGGTCCACGGGCAGCCTGAAGGAGCTGGGTGCAGCTCTCACTACAGAAAAGAAACCTGGGACTCGGGTACCATGTGCTTTGTTCGCCCAGGGTCTTCACGGCCAGAGCAGGGGCCTGGGACGAGCCCTTCGTCCTGTCCTGCGACATCGCAGAGCTCACCCACCTCCTCCTCAGCCCTCAGACAAGCTCCCCAGGGCAGGGCCCTTCTTATCACCTGTGAGCTGCTTCACAGAGCTTCGGCACTCTCTCTCTTCCAGCCGAGTTACAGCCAGCCACCCTACAACCAGGGAGGTTACAGCCAGGGCTACACAGCACCACCGCCTCCACCTCCGCCACCGCCTGCCTACAACTATGGGAGCTACGGTGGCTACAGCCCGGCCCCCTATACCCCACCGCCACCCCCAACTGCACAAACCTACCCTCAGCCCAGCTATAACCAGTATCAGCAGGTAGGTGCCAAATGGGGGCCGGGTGGGTGGAGACGCTCCAGGGGCTCCCCTTGGGTGGGATTCCCAAACCTGGGCCTCTGCTTTCCCCTAAAATGGTGGGCAGCCTGCTGGCCTCAGGCTGGTACAGCCAAATAACTGACGTCATAGGCCCTCCACAGTGCAGCACGGACCAGGGAGGGGCTGCCTGAGGCCTCCGGATCCTGCTTCAGCTCCGGTTAGGGCCCTGTTCCAGGCTGCCCTGGCTGTGGTAACTGGCCGATGGCAGCCATGCTGAGAGGGCACTGGGGTGACAGCCAGAGCCTGGGCCCCATCCCTGATTGCCCACCACCTGGCATCGGGTTGGTCACTTGCCCTTCCAATGTGTCTTGTCACCTCTGCACTGACTGATCTCTGCCCCAGGTGAGGGGGAGGGTGGGGCTGGGAGAGGAGCCAAATCTGGGGTGGAGGAGGGCAACCTGATTCTCTTGGTCTCTCCCCAGTATGCGCAGCAGTGGAACCAGTACTATCAGAACCAGGGCCAGTGGCCACCATACTACGGGAACTACGACTACGGGAGCTACTCCGGGAGCACACAGGGAGGCGCAAGTACACAGTAGCCGGCGTGCTCCCGAGGCTCCAGAGGCCCCCACTGGCTTCCTCCACCAGCGCCTGCCTCGGCCCCTCTACCCCACCGGGTCCCGTGGTGCTGGGGACGGGGGCATCCCAGGGCCGCCTCCCTCTGAGGGGCTTCTCCCCCCGCACCGGGCCAGGCATTTTTCTCTGGATTCAAACAGGCAACAATGACCTTTTATTTTCTGTTTGTCCCCGACCTCCCACCTCTCCTCATCCTCCTACCTCCTTTTTGACAAGAGAACCCCCTCTCCTCGGCAGCAGTGAGGCCACAGTGACTGAGGGGAGGACCCCGTCTCCTCCCAGCCCTGCTCCTGCCCTTAGCTTCCCAGGCCCTCATGCAGTTGGTTGTAAACTCTTCCAGGAGCTGTTTTACTGTCTACTTTTCAGGATTAAAAAAAAAAATCAAAAACTTAAAAAAACAAGTTTAAAAAGCAAAATACAGAGGGAGGAAGCAGTGACCTTTTTTTGGTAATTATGCTTTTTTTTTTAATTTTTAGAATTTGTCCGTTTTTACTGTGGGTCGGCCGTTGATATTTCATCAAGATAACCATTTCTTTGCTGAGTTCAGGTGACCGAGGAAGAGCCACACCCTCAAAACACAAAAACAGAACCACAGAATCATCTTTAACCTAACTTTTTATACGATGTCTCAGTTCCTCGTAACTTTGCACACGAGCTTCTGTGTTCAGTTGAATTGTAACTGCTTTTTGTATTTGGAGAGAGTGTGACTATTGAACTTGAAACCTTTTATTCCGGGCGTCTTGGTAGTTTCTGATGGGATTCAGCGGGGGAGGGAGGGGGAGGGGGCCGCCTCCCTTGAACCCGGGGTGTCCCCGGCCGCCTCGCTGGGCTCCCAGGTGCCGGCCTGAGCGCGTTTCCCACCGTGGTCCTCCAGTCTGACTCCAGCTGACCTGTGTGTTTTAACAGGATTTTTAACAAACTGCACTTACTTACTAAGAAATGTGTTTGCCCTGTTTGTTTTGTTTCAATAAATGACACGGCACCCAGCAGGAAGGAGGCAGGGTGGAGACCCTGAGCTGTTGCTGCAGTTGGCCTTAATCGGGGTGGGCAGCTGCTCCCTCCCTCGTTACCCGACTGGGGCCTGGGGGCCGTCTCTGGTCTTGGTGCAGACGTCCCCTTGAGCCCACTAGCTCACTCCTGATTTCTCTGCTTCTCACAATCCCAAATCCCTCCAGGAATTTTTTCAAGACTTGTTTATTTGAAAGGCTAGAGTTGCAGAAAGAGGGAGAGAGAGCTTCCATCTACTGGTTCACTCCCCCAGTGACCGCAGTGGCAGGGCTGGGCCAAGCCTAAGCCAGGAGCCTGGAACTCCATCTGGGCCTCCCACGTGGGTGGCCGGGGCTTAAGCACTGCTTTCGCAGGCTTTTGAGCAGGAAGCTGACTCAGAAGTGGAGCAGCTGGGACTGGGATCCCGCTCTGACGCGGGTACGCGGGTGCGCAGGAGCCGGTGTGCCCGTGCTGCACCGCGGCGCTGGCTCCACCCCAGGGACTTCTGTGTGGGAGACTTGGGAGGCCCGGGTGGAGACAGGTGCACTGATGACGTAGAGACGAGGGCTGGCTGCTTGTGTGCAGTCACTGGGTAGATAGCCTTGGACCTCAGGCTTGACCTGGGATTGGGGTAGTGGCCTGCCCTCCTGTAGTGGAGACCGTCCTAGACCCTGTTCTCACAGGGTCACGCTCCAGAGAACGCAGACCTGTCATGGGACAGCACCAGTGGCCAGCTCTGAGACTAGCCCGATGGCTCCTAGCGTTCTCCCCTAAACTTCATCTCCCCCCATAGTGCCTGCTCGGCGCCTGGCACCTGGAGGGGCGGAGCTGGTGAAGAGTGGCTCCGTTGCAGGAGCTCCGAACCTCACGAAGGAGACGGCTAGGCGCGGAGGGGACCATCTGAACGTGAGGACGTGCCAGCGTTGCCCTCAGAGGGACACTAAACCTGGCTCTCCCCATCTGGGAAGCCCCTTCCCGCCCCTTGGGTCCGCGTGCTGTGGCGCAGCGCCCTCTGCCGGCTTCACCTGGTAGTACGCCCAGGCCCAGGCTGTCCCCACCTGTGGTGTGGCGCGTGGGGACCCCGCTTTCCTTCCGACCTGGGAATGCGCCGCTCGCTGCCGCGGCCTGGGCTGTTGCAGCAGCTTCCTCCAGAGCGCTCATCTCCTGTGACCCCGCTGCCCACTCCCCGGAGGATGAAGCAGCTCAAGCTGCTTAGAAAGGATCGTCACGGCTTAGTGAGCCCTCTGTGACCTGGCGGCCTCGCCGGCTCCCTGTCTGCCCCTCTGACATTCACGCCGGTGGTTCTTCACAAACCCCTTGTGGACCTGCACATGCCATGAACTCTGCCCTGAACGGTGCGCACCGCTGGAGTCGCGTAAAGATCCACGGGGCTCCCAAGTCCTCCGCAGCCCGGTCATGGCCTTGCCAGGTTGGAACTTTCTGTTCCCTGGCCGTGGCGTGCGCGCCTTCCCCCGACGCCCTGACGCCCCGTGCTTCAGGGCCCCCGGGGTCTCCCGAGCCCGCCCCTGACCGTCCCCGCCTCAGAGCCCGGCCACCGACGCCGAATGCGGGTCCTCCGGGGCCTGGGAACAACGTGGGGAGTGACATTCCTGGGTCGCTCCCAGCCAGGGACTGGGTATGATACAAGCGGGAGGCGTAGTAAATATTCTTGGAGGTGGTCGCTCACCCCAAAATTAAGCCAGGAGCTGCTGGGTTCACAGCCGCGGGCACACGAGCAGTGGTTCGGGCCCCTCTGATTTCCCACTCTCGCCCTCGGCGCGCCTTTTACTTCCGGGCTGGGAGCGCGCGACCCGAGGGGGCACGCATGCGCGTAGGGAGACCCGCCTTCAGCCCGGAACTTTAGTGCTTAGTTGCGGCGGAGCACCGACCCCGGGAACTTGTTCTCCCGGAAGTAGCTACCGAGTGCTCGGGGGCCGAGATTGGGTTGCGGAACCCTCGGTGGCGGTTGATAAGTCGCAGGAAACCGAGATGGAGGCCTTGGCGACTGCGGCGGTGGCGGAAGCCGACGAGGGTGAGATCCTGGCCACGCAGAGGCGGCGGGAGGGTGCAGCTGCGGTGTCTCTAGGAAATGGTTCCCCGGGAACTCGAGGGAGGACTCTTGACTGAGGGACACCTGCCCGCGGCATTACCTGTCCGTCCCAGCGCCCCGCCGGTTTACGGCCTCTTGTCACAGGCCGCCCTCCTCTGCCTCCGTCCTCTCCCCCGAGAGAAGCTTCCTCCCGGTTCCCGGCCAGCTTTCCCACGTCCCGGTCAGCCTTCCCGTGCTGGTGCACGGGTTCGCACAGAGCTCAGCCCAAGTGCCCGACGAAGCCGCCTGAGTATCCGCAGCTGACCGCGACCCCCGAGGCCGCCCCTTCAGAGTCCCTGCGCCACCCCCGGGCTCGCCCCCTCACTCTTCCCGTCAGCCTAAATGCTTCTGTTTTTGTCATTTTAAAATTCCATCTGTTGCTTCAGTCTCCGGTGTGGGGCGAGGCGTGGGGGGACCCTGGCCCCGGACCACTGGCTGTCGAAGCCGGACGATGTGTCCGAGGTGGGCGGGAGCGTGTCACGGGCCCTTTTATGTGTTTGGAGCTTTACACGATTAAAAACAAAACTTGAACCCTAAAAAGAAAATCTGCACCCTCGCTGCCCATGCTGCCTTCCAGACGAGTCCGATTCGCCTCCATTCCCGCGCCTCGCACCCACCGCCGTGGGCTTCCATCGGGAGGCCTCGGGTCAAGTCTCCCGAGCCTTCTGCGCGTAGCGCTGCCCCGTGGCTCGCGCACTAGACCACCGGGGACTCGGCCCGCTTCCTCTGGTGGCTCCCTTGCAGACCGCCTCAGTGCCCTGCGGCTGCTGTAACGAACGACCGTCCGCCGGGCGGCTTCCTCCGCACGAGCTCCTTTCTCGGGGTCCTGGAGGCCGGAAGTCTGCAATGCGTTCCTTGGCGGGGTGGGGTGGGGTCTGGTCTTTGCTCTCCCAGCCGCTGACGGCCGCGGGATTCCTTGCCTGTGGCCTCATCGTTCCTAGCCCTGCTTATCCTCACGTTGCCTTCTCTTTGGGGTGTGTCAGGTCTTCCACAGGGGCTGTCAAAGGACACTGGAGTTTTCATCGGGCGCCCCTGGACCCTAAACCACACCTGGGAAACACCCCTTCTGTTTGTTTCCCCCAAGATAACTGTTGCAGGCGTGAAGAGACTGTCTTTTGTTTTTGTCCATTTGAGAAAGATGGACAGTGAGAGTTCCCATCCATTGGCTGGGAACAGATGCCATTATGGAAGCCAGGAGCAGGAACCACCCAGGTCCCCCTCTGGGGTGGCAGGAACGCAGTCACTCGAGCCCTCACCGCTGCCTCCCAGGGTCTGCAGTCACAGGAAGCTGGGACTTGGAGTCGAAGCACCCGACATGGGACCTGGAATTCTAACCGCTGGGCTGACGCCCACTCCCCTTCCCAGCCGTGTCCTCGCCCATGTCTGGCCCCTCTCCTCATGCATCAGCTCCTGCTTCCTGCCCGTGACCCTGTCTTGGGCCCAGTCCTGGATGCCTCCCTCACCCCCTGCCCTTCAGCCCCACGTGGCTGCCCAGCCTCCTGGCGTCTTTGGAGCCCCGCCCCCACTCTCCCCTCCCCTCTGCCACAGCCTCTGTCCGCTCCAGCTGTCTTCTCTTGCCACACTGACACCCCCTGCACCTCGTCCCCATCCCAGCCAAGTGGCTAAAGGGGCGGTCTCTACTTCGTCTTCAGCGCTGCCCCCTCTGGGGTTTGCCCGGGCTCAGCTTTCCTGCCGTTTCTGCCTGTGTGCTCTTCGATCTGGACTGTCTCCCATCCAGCTGTGCTCCCAAGGGCAGGAGCTGCACTGGGTTCCTCCCTGCACGCTGGGCCTCGCCTGCTCAGGGCCATGTGCGCACAGAGGACCAGGGAGGGGACAGGTTAGTGAATGCGTCTGTGTAAACAAGTGAATCAGTGAGGTGGCCCGAGGCCTCTGCGCTGGCTGGTCCATGCCTCACCGTGCAGCTCTCTACTCTCATGTCACTTTTGGGCACAGCCTCCTCTCGTTAAATTGCAGCCTCACGGGCAGGCATCTGACCTTGCAGTTAAGCCAACATCTGGGGGCTGGCACTGTGGCGTGGTGGGTTCAGCTGCTGCCTGCGACACCTGACATCCCATTTGGGTGCTGGTTTGAGTCCTACCTGCTCCACTTCCAATCCAGCGCCCTGCGAACGCCCCCGGGGAAGGAGCAGAGGATGGTCCAAGTGCTTGGGTCCCTGCACCCTCGTGGGAGACCCAGATGCAGTTCCAGGCTCCTGCCTTTGGCCTGTCCCAGCTCCAATTACTGCAGCCATTTGGGGAGTCAACCAGGGGATGAAAGATCATTGTTTAACTCTGCCTTTCTAATAAATAAATCTCAAAAAAAAAAAAAAAAAAAAAAGATTTGCACATTGGAACACCTGGGTCCAAGTCCCGGCTCTGCGGCTGACCCCGGCTTCCTGCTGATGCAGACTGGGAGGCGCTGTACCTTGCCACCCACATGGATTGAGGTCCCAGCACCCAGCTCGGGCTCGGACCAGGCCCCAGCTGTTGCAAGAATTTGGGCAGTGAACCAGAAGATGGGGGCTCTGTCTTGTCTCCCTCTCAGATAAACAGGTACAAATTTGGGGGTTGGGAGTTTAGCTCAAGAGTTAGGTCACCACTTGGGACAACGGCATCCCCCACCAGAGTGCATGGTTCGCGTCCTGGCTGCTCGGCTTCGGGCCCGGCTCCCTGCTGCTGTTTGTCCTGGGAATCAGCAGGTGATGGCTCAAGGACTTGGGTCCCTGCCTCCCGCCCGCCCACGTGGGAGACCCACGAAGTTCCAGGCTCCGGTGTCAGCCTTGCCCAGGTGTTTGGGAAGTGAACCTGCAGGTGGAAGACTTCAGTATCTCCCTCCCTCTCCCTTCCCTGCTTCTCACAGGAAGTGAGAACACGTTTTTTAATAATAAAACTTTTAGTAAAACCGCAGCCTCCCCGTGTCTCCTCCTCCTGCCCTTCCTTTCAGCATGGCTCTGGGAAACATGGACCACGTTGTGTGTGTCCAGTAACTATGCTGGCGGTCAGCCATCAGCCGTCTGGGCCCTCTAAAATAGCGACCCCTTCGCGTAGGGGGTGTGGGCGTGTCCAGAATATAGCAGGTGCTCAGTGAGTGAGGAGTCCCAGCCTCTCCCCTTCCCACTCCCACCCCAAACCAACACCTCCTCTCTTCACAGGCCGCACGGAGCCCACGCCTGGGCACTGGGGGGAGCTGAGCCAGACCCCAGTCACGCCCAGACCCCAGGACAAGGTGGAGGCAGTGGAAGGAGAGTCGGGGAGCTTGGACGGCGCCGAGAACCCGGCAGTGAGTGCCATGCTGCGCGCCGTGGCTGCCGGCCCTCTGCCCGTGTGCAGTCAGCAGCAGGGCGAGCCCGACCTGACCGAGCGGGAAAAGGTGGCCATCCTGAGCCAGCTGTACCATGAGAAGCCACTCGTGTTCCTGGAGCGCTTCCGCACGGGCCTCCGTGAGGAGCACCTGGCCTGCTTCGGCCACCTGCGTGGGGACCACCGCGCAGACTTCTACTGCGCTGAGGTGGCCCGGCAGGGCAGTGCCCGGCCCCGCACCCTGCGCACCCGCCTGCGCAACCGGCGCTATGCCGCCCTGCGCGAGCTCATCCAAGGTGAGGAGGGCAGATGGGCCGGGGAGGGAAGGGGGTGGGGGGAGATGGGGGCAGACGCAGGCCCGAGATCCCGGGAGAGGCTTTGAGGCAGACGGGGGTCCAGGCAGAGCCGCAGAAATGAGAAGTCGTGGAGAGAGGGAGCAGAGAGAATGGGGCCGACAGGCAGAAGGCGTCACTGGCATCTGACAGCAGTGGGCGAGGCCACAGGCCGCAGCACCGCCCACCTGTGTGCCTGGCAGCACATGCGCCGCATTCCACACTCGAACAAATGGCAATTCCTTTGGGGGTGCCGTTTTTGTTTCTATGTGTTTTTTTGTTTGTTTTTTTGTTTTGTTTTGTTTTGTTTTTTGACGACAGGCAGAGTGGACAGTGAGAGAGAGAAACAGAGAGAAAGGTCTTCCTTTTGCCGTTGGTTCACCCTCCAATGGCCGCCGCGGCCAGCGCGCTGCGGCAGGCGCACCGCGCTGATCCGATGGCAGGAGCCAGGTGCTTCTCCTGGTCTCCCATGGGGTGCAGGGCCCAAGCACTTGGGCCATCCTCCACTGCACTCCCTGGCCACAGCAGAGAGCTGGCCTGGAAGAGGGGCAACCAGGACAGAGTCCGGCGCCCCAACCGGGACTAGAACCCGGTGTGCCGGCGCTGCAAGGCGGAGGATTAGCCTAGTGAGCCGCGGCACCGGCTCTATGTGTTTTTTTAAAAAGATTTATTTATTTGGAAGGCAGAGTTACAGAGAGACATTTTCCATCCTCTGGCTCACTCCCCAAAAGGCTGCAACACTCGGAACTGGACCAGCCCGAAGCCAGGAGCTTCTTCCAGGTCTCCCATGTGGGTGCAGGGGCCCAAGCACTTGGGTCACCTGCTGCTGCTTTCCCAGGCCATAGCAGGGAGCTGGATCTGAAGTGGAGCAGTGGGACTCCATATTGGGTGCTACAGGTGGTGGCTTAACCCACTGTGCCACAGCGCCAGCCCCCTTGCGGATGTCTTAAGCAAGACACGGTGACAGCCATGAAGGAGACACTGCTGCCTTCCTGACCACTTAACTAGGAGTGTCTTTGTGGCCACAGACAGAGCGAGCAGAGTTAACAGACATGGCAGAGCTAGTCAGGGCCAGTTAGGAGAAGGCCCAGCTGTGGAGGGACTGTCGGTGGGGAACAGGGTGACAAAGGAGGGGTGAGTGAGGTGGGGTTAAGTGGCAGAAACTGACAGCAGGCAAGAGAGATGGAGGGAAAAAGAGGAATAGAAACCATTTGGTAGAAGATGCCAGAAACAGCAATGGGATGGCCAGCGCCGCGGCTCACTAGGCTAATCCTCCGCCTTGCAGTGTCGGCACACCGGGTTCTAGCCCCGGTTGGGGCGCCGGATTCTGTCCCGGTTGCCCCTCTTCCAGGCCAGCTCTCTGCTGTGGCCAGGGAAGGCAGTGGAGGATGGCCCAAGTGCTTGGGCCCTGCACCCCATGGGAGACCAGGAGAAGCACCTGGCTCCTGGCTTTGGATCGGTGTAGCACGCTGGCCACGGCGGCCACTTTTGGTGTGAACCAACGGAAGGAAGACCTTTCTCTCTCTTTGTCTCTCTCTAACTCTGCCTGTCAAAAGAAAAAAAAAGAGAAAGAAAAGAAACAGCAATGGGAGTGAGAGCGCAGGACTGAGGGAGTGAGCAGGACAGGGACAGGCACAGACCCCGGGGCTGCAGGAGCCAGGATGCTGTGCAGGTGCTCGGTCCTGGGCTAGGACCGGGGGGGGGGGGGGGGGGGCAGGGACAGTATAGTTGTTACCACAGTGTTCAAGCCAGGCCCACCTGCAGGGGCTGAGCCAGCTGAGAGGCAGACCCCAAGGTCTGTAGACCTGATCCTAGATGCACATGGCTGCGCGCACATGCGTTCTGCCTGCACTGTCCCACACACCAGCTCCCAGACACAGGTACGTGGGACTGCACACACACCCTCCCAGGCCAGGCACAGCTGTCCATGGGCCATAGAGCCCTGATGCCTCAGAGGCCATGCTGAACCAGGCCTGCCCTTGTACCCCTGCTTGGATGCGTGAACACACCGGTGGTTGCAGGCCCGGTCACACGCACATGCTCAGACGCGTGCCCCACACATCAGGCCCCCGTGGTTTTCCTGTGAACCTGAACGTGCACGCACGGACATGGCCACTCAGACACGCTCTCTCCACGCAGGGGGGGAGTACTTCAGTGATGAGCAGATGCGGCTGCGGGCCCCCCTGCTGTACGAGCAGTACATCGGGCAGTACCTCACCCAGGAGGAGCTCAGCGCCCGTGCCCCGATCCAGCCCCCCAAGCCAGGCGCCCCCGGCACGCCCGCCTGCCCACTGTCTGACCTGCTGCTCCAGTCCTACCAGGAGCGGGAGCTGCAGCAGCGGCTGCTCCAGCAGCAGGAGGAAGAGGAGGCCTGCCTGGAGGAAGAGGAAGAGGAGGAGGACAGTGACGAGGAAGGTGAGGGATAGGAGCAGGGGGACCCAGCATCCAGACACCGGCTGCAGGCCTGGCCCGCACCTGAGCCCTCAGTGCTCCCTCCCCACCCTGAGGCCTGCAGTCTGGTCCCTGGCGCGTGTGACGGACCATGTCCCCTGGAGGGAGGCAGCAGCTGCCACATGCACTGCTCACCCCCCGCCGTGCTGTCCCTGCCGCAGACCAGCGGTCGGGCAGAGACTCGGAGGCCTGGGTCCCCGACTCGGAGGAGAGGCTGATCCTGCGGGAAGAGTTCACCAGCCGCATGCACCAGCGCTTCCTGGACGGCAAGGACGGCGACTTCGACTACAGGTGCTCCCGGGCCCCGCACACGCCTGCCCCAGGGTGCTGGGAGGCCCTGGTGCGGCCTCAGCCGGAGGAGGAGGCATGGCCGCCTTGGAGCAGCCTGGGCCACCCGAGCCTCGCCCCTCGGCCGGGGAGGCGTTGCGCAGGGCTGACCTGAGCACTGCAGGTGGCAGTGGCCACCTGAGCCCCGAGTGTCCAGGCCCTGCAGCCTGGTCAGACCCAGGGGGCACCCTGCAGGGTTAGCACACAGGGGCCTGTGGGTCCACAGTGCCAGGTGTTCATTTCTCCACCCAGACCACCAGGCCAAAGGACACGGGAAAATGATTTGTCAGAGTCAGAGAAAGGTGGTTTTGTCAGCTGAGCGAGTCCTGCCTCGTGGTCGGGAACACCAGACCTGTAGCCCGGAGCAGGTGTGCCGACCTGGGCCCCTCTGAAACGGGGCTTGTGGTCTCCACCACAGGGCCTGGCCATGGCCAGCACCTGAGGACCAGAGCATCCCAGCTGCCGTGTGTGTGTGTGTGTGCACGTGTGTGTGCCAGATGTGCCCCCAGCCAGAGCACAGCCTCCAGAGCCTCCAGCAGGGTGTCCAGGCCATGGCATCCCTCGGTGGGCGACACCGCTGCTGCCACCAGACCAGGTGCCTGGGAGGAAGTCGGGAGCGCGAGGGCAGCTGCCGGGCAGCAGCGGCTCCACCGTGTCCTCGTCCACACACCAAGCCCATGTGTGCCGGGTGTCTGACTGTCCAGGCTCTGGGGATAAAGCGGGGAACAAGACCAGCGAGAGGCTTTCCTGCCAGACAGGACAGGGCCCCTCCAGCGAGAGGCGGAGAGGTGACGCAGGGCTGGGAAGGCTGTGAGGAGGGGACCCGCGCTCCCGAGAGGCCACAGCAGGTGCAGGAAACCTGCGGGGCGGGGCGGGGGGGCTCCCTGGATGTGGGGAGCTGAGCCGGGGGCTGCTGGGAATCCTATGGACCTATGTGTGGCAGGGTGTTGAGCAGTGCCCTAGGAGGCAGAAGTGCCCTGTTGGAAACCCCTGCTGCCTTGGGAACGTGGGCCCCACGTCACCACGGTCTCCAGTCGTTTGAGAAAGCAGACTTTTTATATAAAACGTGACTTAGGAGATGCTGGGCCTGACGTCCCCCTCCAAGGTCAGCGCCAACACAGCTGCCTCCCTTCACAGCACAGTGGACGACAACCCCGACCTGGACAACCTGGACATCGTGGCCCGGGACGAGGAGGAGCGCTACTTCGATGAGGAGGAGCCCGAGGACGCCCCCAGCCCAGAGCCGGACGGCGACTGACGGCATCACCGTCCACTCCCCTGGCGAGGCTGCTGCCGCAGGCCGCCCCGTGACCGACCCCACAGGGGCGTCGGCCGGCTCCCCCACACCCTGGCTCGTCCTGTGCCTGCCTCAGCCCCACTGCCCTTTGTCCTGCGTCCCTGCCCTTCTCCCTCTTCCCAAGGCGCTGCCCGCTGCCTCGGGCCCAATATGAAAGTCCTCCGCTGGACTGAGGCCGGGGCACTTGCTGCTGGCCCCGTGCACGTCTCGTTCCACTCAGGTGGCGTGCGTGGCGCCCTCTGTCTCGCGCAGCTCCTGCTCGCTGCTGTGTCCCCATCTCCTGGGCCTGTGCTTTTCCGTCTGTGGTTTCCAGTTCTCTCCCAGCCGTGGGCTGTCTCTGTCCCTCTGGTCTCAGCCTTTATCTCTCTGAGCTGTAGGCTTCCCCACCCCCAAGCCTGGCTGCACGGCTCCCATGTCTCACTCAGGACCCAGGCTGGGGAGGGGTGGGCAGCCCTGGGGGCCTGCCAGCTTGGGGTAGCAGGGGGGCTCCCCCTTCCCAGCCCCCACAAGCCCCCCCCCCGCCGCCGCCCAGCCACAATTTTCCCTTCCTTCACTTCCTCCGCTCCCTCTCCCTCCTGTTTACACTCCCCAAATACGTGCAGGCTGTTATCACGGGCCTGAGTCATCCCACACAGACTGCCCCAGCCTCCCTGCCCCCAGCCGGCCACAGGGCCCGCCCCAGGAGCCCCCTGCCGCCCTAGGCTAATGGGAGCCAGATGGCCGCCTGGTGACTCAGCCACCGGCCTGTGGGAACCCAGGCGCCCTGCCTTCCCATGCCCCACACCCCTCTGGTCCCCCAGCAGAGGGGGAACTGGCGGCCGCTGGGGGAGTGGGCCACATAAGCCAGCCGTTAGCTGAGCTGGGCCTGGGGACTCCTGTCTCCTGTGAGACAGAACGGTGGCGCCCTGACCAGGCCAGACAGACTCCCGGAACCCTTCCTGGGCCACTGTTCTGGCCTGGGCCCAGCTGTAGGTCAGCCCACCTTGATTCCAGGAGCTAGGGTGGACAGCCAGGGGTAGGTGGCTGCATTGGGAGGCTCAGAGGGGGTACCCGGCCAGCAGAGTTCCCAGCATCCCTGGGCCAGGTGCCTGGCACTGCACCACAGGGACTCCTCCAGGCAGCCAACAGCCTAGGGACCCCCAGCTCCACATCGCAGATGGGTCAGGGGAGGCCCAGCGTGGAGGGGCTGCTTACTCAAGGCCACAGGCCCGAAGAGGCAGACAGGTGGGACAAAGGTGCTAGAGCCACCCGGGACAGGGAGACAGGAGAAGCGTCCAGGTGGGGTGAGGCCTGCAGAGGCTGCGCTGGGGGAGATGAGCACGGCGCAGGGACGTCGTCACGCAGGAGTGGTGCTGGCACCCGACGTGGGGGAGCATGCGTGGTCTGTCATCTGGTCATTAAATCTTTATGTTCTACTGTGCCATCGTAAATTTGTTACGTGTTTTTTTTTTAAAAAAAGAAACAAGAGACAGCAGTTGAGTCAGAGTTAGGGTTAGTCAGATGGTCCAGACGAGCGTCTGGCCGGGACAGAGGTGGAGCCGTCCCGGGGACGGGGATTAGAAGGGGAGACAGGAAGAGAGGAGGAGACTCTGAGCAGCCCACCCTGGCCCCCCAGCACCACTCGGGCCTGGGGTGGGCGGAGAGGCTGAGTCAGGGAGGCTGGTTGCTGGGGACAGCCCCTTTGTGGGCATCCGGCCCCCACCCCGTGGCGGCTGTCCCGGCCCCGCCCTCAGCAACTGACACCTCCGTGTGTCCCTCCCGTGTTCCGCCAAAGCCGAAGCCGCTTCACATCCCTGTGCCCCTGTGCTGGCTGCTGTCCTCTCCCCTTTCTGCGGCTCCTCCGCCTCTCGCCCGCCCCTCCCCCGCCCCTCTCTGGCTGTCAGCCTCTCCCCTCCCCCTGTGCCTGCCTCTCCACTCCGGGTTCCTGAGCCCCTGCCTCTCCCACCTTGGTCATTCTCTCTTGCTGGCCTCTTGAGCTTCTGTCAGTCTCTGACCCCCATCCCTTGCTCCACTGGCCTCCCCTCCTACCCTGGTCTCAGCCCTCATTTTTTCCTATCCCTCCCCCTGCCCGTCTCCTGGTCTGCCCCCTGTTCCCAGCCTCTGTCTGCCTCCCAGGCACGTCCAGGTCAGCTGCACTGGTGGCCCCTGGCAGTGCAGAACGAGGGTCACTGCCCCCACCCAGGAGGGGTGCGGTGAGGCTGTGGGACTTTTCTGGCCAGGGGGAAATGTCTGTGCTGTGGCCTGGTCACCCCCGCCCCCAGGACCTGCTGGGCTGCGGCCGCCCCCGGGCTGGGGTAGAGTAAACACAGCCACAGGCAGCCCTGGGTTATTTATACCGAGGGCTGGGCGCAGGGCCAATGCCCACCACAGCCCCTGCCCTGCCCACTGCCGCAGCCAGCCCCAAGCCAGCGTGGCACCAGGCGGCAAGGGGACACGCGCCGCAGACACAGCCTCCACTCAGCACAGAGGCCAGCGGGCGTCACAGGACGACGCCTCCTCCCCTGCAAACCCCAGCAGGCAGGGCAGCCACACGGGCACTGGCACTCCCGGCCCTGCGGACGCCCGGCAGAGCCCCCACAACACAGCCCAGCCACCAGCCCGCAGTCAGGCTTCAAGACGCGGCACTGCAGTGGGCGCCTGGCTCACCAGGTGTGCCCAGACACTGCACACCGTGGCAGTCGTCACACACGGCTGTGTGAGAAACAGCAACACTGCATTTCAAGTCAAACTTGCACAGAACACACCAACTCACACCCCGCGCTGAGCCAGGAAGATGCTGAGGGGCAATTCGGACGCACAGCCACCCCCAATGTGTGTTGCGTTTCTTGCACACAGTCTGGCCAGACCCGCCGTGCCAGGGTGCCAAGCCCACCTCAGAAATGCGGCACACAGACACATGGAGGGGACCACGCTGTAGTCCCAGGCCTCAAACTCACACGCACTGGCGCCCCGGCTGCCCCACCCCCCACCCCCAGCCGACCCTGTCCCAGGCCCATCGTGAAGGGAGGGGCAGGAAGGCCGAGCTGGCCTCCCCGCCACCCCAGCCGCTTCCTGCCCCGTGGGGGCCGGGCGAGAAGCTGGGGATGCAGCCGGAACCCAAGCTCCCCCCACCACTTCCCCCGGCAGCCGTGGCCCCACAGAGGCAGGGGCGGGGCCGGCGAGGGAGAGGGGCGCCCCGCACCCCAGCCCTGCCTCTGTGGTCTACAGTGGGGGGGGGGGCAGACTTGTCCCAGTGGAGCCAGGCCACCCAGCAGGCCAGAGTGGCAGGGCAGGGGCCACGTGCATGTGACGGCAGAAGGTGCTGAGCCCACAAACCCCTGAGCTCCTGCCCACCAGCGGCCAGCTCAACCAGAGCCGGCAGGTGGGCGGCAGCATCCCAGGGCTGGGAGCCCGAGGCTTTGGGCAGGGCCGAGCCGGGGTTGTGTCTGCGTCTGGGACCCTGGGTGTGCCAGTGTCTGGGTGTGACGGGGTCGCTGCAGTCTGTGGCCCACATGGGACTCTGCAGGCTCGGGTGTTCGGGAGGCATGAGGTCAGACTGGGCGCAACCCGCTGGCCCTGTGTGTGCTGTGAGGGTCAGACCTCCGAGGGGCCGGGTGGGCGCGTGACCTCGTGCGGAGGATGTTTGTGGAACCGCGGGTGGGCCCATTTCCTGCCGGGGTGCTGATGCGTGTTTGTGCGACACTGTCTGTGGCAATGTCTGCTGCGGGGGTTGTGACCGTGACCCTGGCCTGTGCCCTGGCTTGCTGGCACTCTCTCTTCTTCCCACCTGTGCGTGTGCGCACGGCCTCTGCCACCAGGTGTCTATCAGGGCTGGGAGAGGTCAGCGTGTGTGTGTGTGTGTGTGTGTGTGGCTGTGTGTGGCTGTGGGCTGCTGTGTACACACATGTGCCTCATGGGGCGTACAGGGACTACTCTCAGTGTCACGGCTGTGTCTCTGCCTCTTGGGGCCAGGCCTCAGCGGCGTTCCCACACATGGAGCCGGCTGATGCTGCATGGGGGAGTTCCTCTGGGGCCCCCAGCCCTGGGGCAGGAGGAGGGGCCAGGACCTCACCAAACCCCAGTGAGCCTGGGCCCAGGGCACAGAACCAGGGCTGGGTGGCACAGCCGAACATGGGCCCCCGGGGCCTGACAACGTGGGAGAGAGAGGGGAAGTGAAACCGGGGGAAGAGAGAGGAAACTGAGAGGCAGGAGAGGGGAAGTTGGAGAGTTCACCAGCAAGGCCACAGCAGGCAGAAGAAACGGAGGCAGCAGGGGCCCTGCCTGCGGCACCCTGCATCCGAATCAGAGCGCACCAGTCCCAGTCCCAGCTGTGCACTTCCAATCCAGCTGCCTGCTACCACACCTGTGAACGCAGCGGAAGATGCCCCTCACCAACATGCCACCCGGGAGATCTGGATGGAGCTCTGGCTCCTGGCGTCAGCCTGGCTCGGCCCTGGCCGTTGTAGCCATTTGGGGAGTGAACCAGCAGAGAGAAAATCTGTGTTTCTCCCCCTCTGTAACTCTGCCTTTCAAATAAATTAAATAAATATTAAAAAAAAAAAAAAAGGAGGAGGTACCCGAGGGAAACCACCGTCACCTGGTGCCAGGACCAGCAGACGCCCTGTGGCCAAACTCCACTGTGTGTGCTCTCAACCACCAAGCGGGGTGAGCCCTGACCGCCAGAGTCCCGGCTGGCTGCACCTCCCTCAGGACCGGTCCGCCGGGCAGCACTAGCTAGGACTTACCTAATGAACCTCAGCTCGCCTGCCTGGGTTCAAGTCCCAGCTCTGCCACTTCCTAGCGGTGTGAACTTGACATAACTAACCTCTGTGCTGCAGGATGCAAGCATCTGTCAAGTAAAGCTCAAATGGGGGCTGGCGGTAGGAATCTGGGACTCGCACACCAGCACAGCCACAGAGGGATGCACACCAATGAGCCCACTCTGTTCCAGACAAAACCAGGCAGACCTGGGGCTGGAGCTGGTCACAGGCCGTGACACACTGTGGGGAGGCCACCGCGATCCAGGACAGATGACACACCTGGCGGATGAGGCTGCTGCTCTCTGGCCAGTGGGCGCCTGACCTGACTCAGCTCCCAGCCCCTTCCCTGCTCGCCCTCTCCCACCCACACGAGTTGGCCGTCACTTCCGGGTCTTGCCCACTGCCTCCTACCCAGAACCCCGCCCCCTAGAGCTGCTGCACTGGCTCCCTGCAGTCTCCAGTGCCACCTCCTCTCCCTAGAACCCCTTCCTCCTTCCCAAAGGCTCCTCCACACCACCCCGCTCTCGCCATGTACTCACCACTTCCACCCCACCCCCCATCGCCAGGAGTAGCCTTCTAGTGGGCCAGAACCGCTCCTCTCAGCTCTGCACAGAGCTTCCTGACCTTTAAATCGGGTATTGGGACCGCACCGTGGTGCAGAGGGTTAAGCCGCCACCTGCAACCCCAGCAGTCCATGTGTGCCAGTTCGAGTCCCAGTTCCTCCACTTCCTATCCAGCTCCCTGTTACTGCGACTGGGAAAGCAGTAGATGTATATGATAGTCTAAGTGCTTGGGACTCTGCCACCCATGTGGGAGACCTGGATGGAGGTCCTGGCTCCTGGCTCCTGGCTCCTGGCTTCAGGTAAGCCCACACTCGGCCATTTTTCGCCATTTGGGGGGTAAACCATGGATAGAAGATTGGACGATCTCTGTCTCTCCCTCTGTCACTCAAATAAATTTTGAAAACTTGCATTCATTCAGAGAGTGTACTCAGAACAGCGCCGGAGGTGCTCGACAAGTAGATCTAAAAGGGATTGCACAGGGCCACAGGAGCACTGGGAACAGAATGTGCTCGGTGTTTACGGGATGCAAATGAGTGACGTGGACACAAGCGACAGAAGAGACCCCAGCTAGGCACCCAAAGACACGGAGACCCCAGTCCTCTTTCACCTTTAATAGCCCGCAGGTGGGCTTGGGCACAGGTGTCCTTAAATACTGCCCCGGCCCGGGGGCGAGGCGGGGTAGGGTGGGGCCGGGCCTGCCGGGGCGGGGGTGGGGGGTGGGGGGGTTAAGGGGTGGGGGGAGCCTCAGCTGCACTTGCAGGAGCGCACGATCATGTTGGACAGCTGCTCCACCTTGGGCTTGCGGCCCACGTAGTACACGATGGGCAGTGGCTCCAGCGCCTGTGGCACACAGCACGGCGCTGCCGACGCGCCCGGGTTGTGCTGGTTGTACAGGGCCAGGACCTGCGGGTGGCTCAGCGTCAGGGCCAAGGTCAGACCTCAGGGAGTGTGGGGAGGGGGACGCCCCCACAGCCCCCTCCCCACCCCATGCCCCAGCGCAGCCAGCCTCTCCCCACCTTTCTGGCTTTTCTTCCTCCATCTCTGTGTCTGCTGACTCTCGCCTGTGTGGTCTCTGCTTCTTTGTCCTGCCGCCTTCTCCCCCATTCTGTCTCCCCACTTCTCCCTGCCTCTCTCCCCTCCACCCATCCCTGTTCCTCCAGCTTTCTGGGTGTCCCTCTGTCCCCTCTGCTCAGGCCCTGGCTCTATGTCTCTCCCTTGCTCCTCCGTCCCCGTCTCCCCCTCCCCACTCTGCTTTCACCTCTTTCTCTCTCTCCTCTCCTGGGGCCCCAGCCCCCAACCCAGTGGGCCAGACCCACCTTGCTGTACTGGGTGTCCAGGCTCCAGATGTAGGGGCAGGGTCCCAGGCAGAAGTTGGCGTGGTAGCCCTTGGGCTCGTGGATCCACTTCCAGCCCAGGTCCTTGCGGAAGTCAATGTACAGCTGCCGCACACAGCAGTTCTTCTCTGTGGAGCTGCGGGCAGGCGCACACATCAGGAGCTGAGAGGGGCTGCCCCCGGGGGCTCTCCCCTCCCCCGCTGTGTGCGGCCTGAAGTTGCCCCCACTCCCTTCTCCCTGGCAAGCTCCGTGATGACAGCAGCGAGGACAAACAGTAACACACCGCGAACACCTACTAAGCACTTCCAGTAATCAAGCACTGCCAATGTCACACAGCATTCCAAACAAGCCACCCTCTGGGAGGGGAAGCAGCCGTGCTGTGGCTTAGTGGGTTAAGCCGCCGCCTGCAGCACAAGCATCCTGGCTGCTCCACTTCCCATCCAGCTCCCTGCTGATGCGCCTGCGAGAGCAGCAGAAGGCGGCTCAAGTACTTGGACCCCTGCCACCCACGTGGGAGACCCAGATGCAGCTCCTGGCTCCCATCTGGCCCAGCCGCGGCCGTTGTGGCCATCTGGAGAGTGATGGAAGACTTCTTTCTGCTCCACCTTTCAAATAAACACATCTTACTTTTAAAAAATGCAGCTGCCGCCGGTGCCGCGGCTCACTAGGCTAATCCTCCGCCTTGCGGCACCAGCACACCGGGTTCTAGTCCCGGTCGGCGCCCCGGATTCTGTCCCGGTTGCCCCTCTTCCAGGCCAGCTCTCTGCTGTGGCCCGGGAGTGCAGTGGAGGATGGCCCAAGTGCTTGGGCCCTGCACCCCATGGGAGACCAGGAAAAGCACCTGGCTCCTGGCTCCTGCCATCGGATCAGCGCGGTGCGCCAGCTGCAGCGCGCAGGCCGCGGCGGCCATTGGAGGGTAACCAACGGCAAAGGAAGACCTTTCTCTCTGTCTCTCTCTCTCACTGTCCACTCTGCCTGTGAAAAAAAAAAAAAAAAAAAGCAGCTGCCCATTCCCGATGTGTCCCTTTGTGCCAGAAGTGCTGACTGGGATCTGCTGGAGACAGAGTACAACCAAGACCACAGAGAATCCCTGCCTCCAGGGCCACCTGCCGTAAGCTGTAAGGTCACGCCTGTGCTCCAAACATGGCTCTGCCTCGCTCAGGGCAAACAGCCGAGCCCTCACCCCACGCCACAGGAGCTGCCGGGCCTGCCTGCCTCAGCTCCCTCTCCGGCCACCCTCACCACATTGCCACGGCAGCAGCACCTCTGTCCTCCCAGCACAGACCTGCCACCAGGCCACGGCACTTGCTGTTCCCGCTGCCTGGCTTGCTTTTCCCACACACACCCACTCCTGGCTCCATCAATTCATTCAACCTTGGCTCGAATGTCCTACCGCTCGGATCCCTTAACCTCCACCAACAGTGCGTGGCATGCACAGGTGCTCAGTAAGCCGCAGATACACGGACGAACGTCCCGCCCTCCCAGAGCCCTGCACGGCCCTCCCATCCGCACTATCACGCTTGCGGCTGGGCTTCCCTCCAGTGCAACAAAGCACAGAACACTTGCCCAAATCTGAGGCGGGCACACCTTGCTGAAGGTGGGAGAGTTCTCGAGCTTGTGTTCACTGCTTCTCTGCACAAGCAAACCCTGCCTCAATCAGAACAGGAAGAGAGCTCCCGTACGTGCATCTGACGCAGCTCCTTCTTAGAGCCTGACACAGCTGCTCCTTCAGATGTCTGTCTCCTGCGAGGATGGGAATCTGTCTGGCCCACTGCTGTATTCCAGTGCCACGTCCTACGGCAGCTCAGCAAACGCTGCAGGCACTCGGTGACCGATGTACTATGGGGCTTTACATCCTATTTATCTGAAAGGCAGGCACGGGCCAGCGCTGTGGCGCAGTGGCTTCAGTATAGGGGTGCTGGTTCGAGCCCTGGCTGTTCCACTTCGCCACCAGCTCCCTGCTGATGTGCCTGGGAAAGCAGTGGGAGATGAACCAAGTGCCTGGGCTCCTGTTTCCATGTGGGAGACCCGGATGGAGTTTCAGGCTCTTGGCTTTGTTGTGTCCCAGCTCTGGTTGCTATAGTCACTGGGGGAGTGAACCAGAGGATGGAAGATCTTCTCTCTCCCTCTGCCTCTCGGCAACTCTTTTAAATAAATATGTAAATAAATCTCTAAAAAATAAAAAAGAGGGAGGGAGGGAGGGAAAGAGAGAGAAAAGGGGGGAGCGGCCGGCGCCGTGGCTCAATAGGCTAATCCTCCACCTTGCGGCGCCGGCACACCGGGTTCTAGTCCCGGTCGGGGCGCCGGATTCTGTCCCGGTTGCCCCTCTTCCAGGCCAGCTCTCTGCTATGGCCAGGGAGTGCAGTGGAGGATGGCCCAGGTGCTTGGGCCCTGCACCCCATGGGAGACCAGGAAAAGCACCTGGATCCTGGCTCCTGCCATCGGATCAGCGTGGTGCGCCGGCTGCAGCGGCGGCCATTGGAGGGTGAACCAACGGCAAAGGGAAGACCTTTCTCTCTCTGTCTCTCTCACTGTCCACTCTGCCTGTCAAAAAAATAAAAAAATAAATAAAAAAATAAAAATTTAAAAAATAAAAATAAAAAAATAAAAAAGAAAAAAAAAAAAAAGAAAAGGGGGGAGGGAGGTCCCATCTTCTGGTTCAGTCCTCACAGCGTGGTCTGGGCCAAGCAGAAGTCAGGAGTCAGGAACTCGATCTGGGCCTCCCAGGTGACTGGCAGGGTCCCAAACATGTGGGCTATCGTATCTTGTACTGCTTTCCCAGGCACATTAACAGTGAGCTAGATTGGAAGCAGAGTGGCCGGGACTCAAACTGGCGTTCACATGGGATGGGCATGTCCCAAGGGGCATCTTAACAGCAGCCTCTTAACCGTTGCACCAAATGCCTGCCACTATATTATGATTAAAAAAAAAAAAAAAAAAAAAAAAAAAAAACAACCAGCTGGAGAACAGTGGAGTCTGAGACTCCACCATTCTGGACTCAGGGTTTCTGTGCCAGGCTCCGCACAAGCTCCAAGCTCCCCTGGGGAGCTTTATGTGCCAGCCCAGGCAGCCAGGGCCGAGAGGGCCTGGGAGCCCAGTGACAGGGGGACTCGTGGGGAGCCGACGGCATTTTATATTTCACATCGGTGTCTTGCACAGGGAACACCATGCAAAGGGGCAGGCACAGGGCACTCCAAATCTGCTATGCACAGGACCGGCAGGAAGACTATTAAGTTGTTGTGAGTAGGGGTGGGCGTTGAAGCACAGTGGGTTAAGCCCCTGCTTGGGATGCCCACGTCCCATAGCCCAGTGCCTGGGTTCAAGTCCCCACTACTGCGCTTCCAACACAGTGCCCTACTATGCACCTGGGAGGCTCCAGTGCTCGGGCTCGTGCCACCCATGGGGGAGACCCGGACTGAGTTCTGGCTTCAGCCTGGCGCAGTCCCACCTGCTGAAGGCACTGAAGGAGAGAACCAGCAGATGGAAGATCTGTCTCTCTGATTTTAAAATAAAGCAGTATATACACCCTTTTTAAAAATGGCATCAGTGACATTTTCCGTGTGACGACATCCTTCTGTATCTCCCACATTCTCAGTGGTGGGTGTTCCTGGCTTTTAGAATAAGAACAAACAAAAGAAAACATAGACTTCCTATGTTCCTGAAAAAAACAAAACCAAAAAGGCTTCCATTTGGGCAAAACAGAAAAGAACACAGTGACAGGCACGAGAGTCCTGCAGACTCTGTGAAAGAGGACACAGCCCGGACCCAAGTGAAGACGGCCTCTGGGTGGCCTCACTGGCCCTGGTCCATGTGCAGGGACTGTGCCCCGCCCCCCACGGGGTCTGCATCCACGGACTCAACCAACCACAGAGCAAGAACACTCAGGGGCAGCACTGGGCCCGGTGGTTAAGACGCCGAGGAGACTGTCCACTTCCGGTATCAGTGGGCTGAGATCCAAGTTCTCATTCCAGCTTCCTGCTCCCGCACATACCGGGCGGCAGCGGCTGATGGACCAAGTACTTAGGCTCCCGCATGCTTCGGAGACTCAGAAGGGGCGCCCGGCTCCGGTCTGGCCCAGCCCAAGCCATTGCAGCCATTTGGGGACGGAACATCTCTCTCTGTCTCTCCCCCTCTGTCAGGCTATCAAAGAAAATAAACACTTCATTTGAAAGGCAGGGTGGCAGAGGAGTAGAGAAAGAATGATTTTCCATCCACTGGGTCACTCCTCAAATGGCCACAACGGCCAGGAGCTTCTTCAGGGTCTCCCACGTGGGCGCAGGGTCCCAGGCACTGGGTCATCTGCTGCGGCTTTCCTAAGCACACTACCAGGGAGTTAGATTGGAAGGAGAGCAGCCAGAACTATAAACAAACCTTAAAAAAAAAAAAAAAAAAATCACCCATGGGGCTGGTGCCGTCGCTTAGCAGGTTAAGCCACTGTCTCTGGCTCAGGCATCCCATATGGCTGCCGGTTCGAATCCCAGCTGCTCCACTTCCAATCCAGCACCCTGCTCGTGTGCCTGGGAAGGCATCCGAGGAGGCCTGGAGGTAGCTTCTGGCTTTTGTTGCCATCTGGGGAGTGACCCAGCGGACAGCAGGCCTCTCTCTGTGTAACTCTCAAGGAAAATCTTAAAAACAAAGAAATGAAAAAGAACCACCCAAAGAGCCTGACCTGAATTTCGAGACCCCGCGAGCCAGGCCTTATTGTCTTTCGTTTGCAGATCGAAGGAAGCTGCTGTTTGCTCACGCACCCAGCCTGGCCGGGCCGGCTTCTCCGCGGGCTCTGCTACCCCTGGGAGCCGGGGCCCCGTCTGTCCAGCGTGGATGTGCAGGATGCGGCGGCCACGACGGGAACTTCTAGGGCCACACGAGGCCTGAGAGCCATGACCCCAGAAGGCGGAAGAGACCGGAGGCCCGGACTCTGCATCCGTCCAAGGAGCGGGGTCAGAGACCGAGACTTCGGGAGTCCAGGACCGGGCGGCGGTGCGCATGCTCCGGGAAAACGTTCCGGCCGTCGGCCTCCGGCCTGAGGGGGCCGCACACCTGTTTGCCAGAGACGGCTTTCATGTCCAGGGCGGGGCGGCCACGGCTCTGACGGCCTGAGCCCTGGACCGTCCGTGACCCCTCTCCACGTCCAGAGTCCTCCACGGGGTCCCTGGGCAGCAGCAGCCAGGCGCGGACAGCTGGCGGGAGACCCTCAGCAGCGACCGCCGTGACCCCGCCCCAGCTGACCCGGAAGTGCTCTGGCACCCGTCCAGGACGTGGCCAGGCCTGTGGCCTCCAGGGCCCGTGATTCCACCACTTCGTCCTTCCTTGCAAGGCCTCTTCCCTCAGTCTGGCCGCCCACGGCACGCGCAGAGGCCTCCCGGGGCCCTCGGGCGTCGGAGACAGGGTCAGCAGACCCGCGGAGCCCGTGGGCAGCTGAGCGAGCGTGAAAACCTCAGCCCACGCAGGCTCACGACACGCAGGCCGACAGCAGCTCTGAGCTGAACGCCGGGTTCCGGGTGCGGATGCTGGCACAGACACTCCCAGTCTGGCCCAAGCCAACCTCCGACACCCGGGAGTCCTGGAGCTCCCCGCAGGCCTCCCAGAGCTTCGCTTGGCGACGCTGGGGTGCGGGCGCTCTGCGCAGGCGCCGCCGCCCACGTGACCCTGTGCCCGCCCACTTCCTGCCCCGCGGAAGGTTCCAGAGCCCGGGGCGCCCGCGCGGGCTGGGCTGGGCTGGGCTGGGGGAGCGGGGGCTGCGGAGCCCGGCCGGAGCCGCGAGAGGGGCTCTGCGGGGTCCCGTGGGCGTCCAGGCGTCCCCGGCGGGCTCCTCCGTCCTCTGCTGGGACGTTTGGACGGAGAAAGAGCCGGCCGCGGGCTAGGCCTTGAGAGGGGCGGTGCCTCTCCTGGGCTCCTCCTAGAGTTCCCGGAGCCGCGCTTCTCCGTGTGAGACACCCGCTCACGGGTAACATGTGTGTGTGTAGTGTGTGCGTGTGTTCTATGTAACGTGTTTGTGTAGTATGTGCGTGTGTTCTATGTAACATGTGTGTAGTATGTGTGTTTCTATGTAACGTGTGTGTAGTATGTGTATAGTGTTTCCACATGTGTGTATGTAGGGTCTGTATGTAAGTCGTGTATGTCTATTTCTAATATATCTATTATGTATCCATATGTTTATAGTTATATGTTCATGTTATAATGATAATATATATAGTAAATAATTTCTATATATTTCGTAATACATAAGTATGTAGGCTTAATTTGTTTATACAATGTATATGTGTCAATAGAAATATCGATTTCTATATTTATATTAGCTATTAGATATAGTGTCTATGTATACACAAAATTTGTATTTATGTATAGTCAGATGATTAATATATTTATATATATATATACATTTATATATCTATATAATTATATAATAGAGAATTTCCTTAGTCATTTATTTATTTTTAAGTTTTTTTTGAGAGATTTACATAAACAAGGGAGTGGGAGAGAGACAGAGAAGGGTCTTCCATTCGCTGGTTCACAAGTGGCGGTGACGGTCAGAGCTGGGCAAGACTTGAGCCAGGAGCTTCATCCGGGTCTCCGTTGGGCCATCTGCTGCTGCTTCCCTAGCCCATCAGCAGGGAGCTGGAGAAGTAGAGCGGTCAGTAGTGAGAGGGTGCGTGTGGGGTGCTGGCATCGCAGGCAGCGGGTTTACCTGCTCCAGTACCTATTTCTGTATGATTTGTTTAGGGTCAAGTAATTTCTGGGTACAAACTGTTTTTCATACTACACAGAAAATTCATATTCTAAAAAAACTATGCATAGATTTCAGAAACCATTTGCACCAAAATAATTACAGGTTTTTAATTCCAATTCCCACTGACTTTCTGGATTCCCTGGTACGTGTGTGTGGGGGGGTGTCCCCTGGATCGGGCTCCCAGGTCTAGATTCCGCAGCCTGCGTCCCCGTGGCCCAGAGCCCTGAGCAGGGCCAGGTCTGACTCCGGGCAGCGCCCTCGCCGCTGAGCTCCTGTTTTGCCTCCCAGAGTCCAGGGCGCTCAGGACCGCAGCCCTCACTCCCTGGGGGTCCTAGCCCAGGTGTGAGATCTGGTGCTGGAAGAGCCCTGGACAAGGGGCGACGTCCAGCCGGGGACGCCATGAAAGAAAGCCCGGACAGCACCACAGATTCTCCTGGGGGAGGGGTGGGCTGCGACTCCTCGCTCGGCCCTCACATTCTAAGTGAACTCCAGGGACCTGGGCCCCAGCTGACTGGGCTGTGAGGTCCCCGCGCTCCAGCTCCAAGACGCCCTTCCCGCGTCCCAGCTCGCCAGGCGCCAGGCCTTCCAGGACCCCACGTTCCACCCTCCCATGCAGCCTCCCGCCACGCGCAGCCAGCACACGAGGCCCAGCCTGCCGCCTGCCAGGCCCCGCACTCCCTGGCTGAGCCCGCATCCTGTCCTGGGCAGTCAGCATCCCCACTTCCTCCACACCCAGCCAGGGCTCCCATTTCAGCCCAGGTCCCAGCCCTGGGAGCCTAATGTCCCAACGCCAGGGCCAGCACTGGGGGCTCCGATCTGCCCGGGGTGTGGGAACCCAAAACGCACAGTCTCCTCCCTCTAGGCTCCCAGCAGGCAGCCTCCTCGACTCCAGCGGCCTTGCTCCCAGTCACAGACGCTCACCCAGCATTCTAGAACTCCAGCCCCAGACACTCAGAAGCCCCCAGCAAGGCAGCCTTGCCACACCGCATTCCAGTTCCCGTGCCCACATCCTGACAGCCTCCGACTGCTGCACTGCACCAGGAAGGGGCCCGGGCCCCACGTTCTAGGCCTCCCAGGTCCCAACCCAGCTGCCAGGTTCCGACCCTCAGGCTAAAGAGAAGCCCAGCTGAGTGTGGCTCAGCCAGGGGCGCAGCCCGGAGGGCCACAGTCAGAGACCACCATGTTCACCTGAAGCAGTAGTTGGTGTCCAGGGCTCGGCGGTGCCGGGAACTGTGTAGATGTTGAGCCCGTTCCAGAGGGGTGGCCATGAGGAGCAGGAAGGGTCGGTTCATGCTGTGAATGGTGGCCAGGTCACCTCGACGGCCGGAACTGATCCCTGTTTGGATGGGGGCTCTTAGATGGATGCCTAGTGGCACTGGGCAGGTTGGGGAGGGGGACACACACACGAGCACACATAGGCGCAGAGAGATCACATCTGGGGATGGACTGGGCCAAGGTCGAGAACTCACCGTTGATGTCCACTTGGAGGACATTATCTTTGTTGTCACAGGAACAGTGGGCGCTGAGGCGGAAGCCCTCTATTTCCTCTGTGGGAGTGGGGAGAGGGAAGGCAGTCTGAGTGGGAGGCTCAGCCAGACCCTGGAGGAAGGGGAAGGAAGGAGCAAACTCCAGGGGGCTCCTCCTGCCTGGGACAGCCCTCCCCTCCCCCTCCCACCACCCCCACCATGGTGCTCAGCTCTTTGCTTTGCCAGCAGTGTCCCCTTCGAGTCTCAGCCTACGTCACCTCCTCAGAGAGCCCTGCAGGATGCACACCCTCCCGGACCATGACATCACCTTGTTTTCTCCATAGCATGTGACCTCTTTCATTGGTGTTTGGCTATTTATTTCTCTCAGTAGAAAGGATACTTCAGATAGAGACCCTTATTTTTTTTTTTTCCCAGTTGGGCCTGGCCCACAGACTCAAAAAAAGAAATACCTGGGAGCTGGTGGTGGTGTGCAGCAGGTTAAGCTACCGACGGCAATGCTGGCATCCCAATCACCAGTTTCGGTACCAGCTACTAGACTTGTTTTTGTTTTACTACTAATTTATTTGAAAGACAGAGGTACAGAAAAGAAAAGGGGGAGATACACAGATCTTCCATCTGCTGGTTCTTTCCTCAGATGGCCACAGTGGCCAGCACCGAGGCTGAAGCGAGGAGCGTCACTGGGCTCTCCCCCGTTGGTGCATTGTCCCTGCTTTCAGGGGCACATAAGCAGGGAGCAGGATCAGAAGTGGAGCAGCGGGAATGAAACAGGTGCCCAACTGGGAAGCCAGCATGACAGGCAGCAGCTTAACCCACTCCACCATAGTACCACCCACCTGTACTTCCACTCCGGCCAGCTCCCTGTTATCTGCCTGGGAAAGCAGCAGAAGATGGCCTAAGTGCTTGGGGCCCTGCCACCCATGTGGAGACCCTGATGGAGTTCCAAGGTCCTGGCTTAACTTGGCTCAGCCAGTCATTGCAGCCATTTCAGGGGAGAACAAGCAGGTGGAAGATCTCTCTCCCTCGCTCTTGTCTCTCTCTCCCAGTCTCTCTGTAAGTCTGGCTTTTATAAACAAATCTTTAAACAAAGAAACAAGCATCTTAGGAATATTTGGGAGTGACCCAGCAGATGGACATCTCTCCATCCCCAGTACTCATCTGTAAAAAAACAAAGCCCACAGGTACTGGGTGCCCTGACCTAACCCCTCCCTGTGTGCTGTCCCTGTAATCCCCCCCCCCCCACTGTCCATCTGACAGGCCTAGCAGCTGACATAGAGAAAGGACGAGACCTGCCCTCGGTCACACAGGTGGCCAAGGCTGGGAGACAAAGCTCAGCCTGGGGCTTTCCCGAGGGCAGATGTGGGATAAAGGCAACTGGAATGAGTGAGTGATGGTTTCTAAGCTCCTCCTGCCTGCGGGCCCTGGGCTGTGTGCTTGCACAGAGAGCGACGCAGACACGGGAGATCCTGCCAGGCGCCCTCTCTGGCCCAGGGCGCCCTCGCTGCACCTGGCCTAAGGAATTCTCCTGTGAGTCTCCACACAATCGCCCTCCTCCAGGGAGCCCTCCTGGCCCCCAGATGAGTTTGGGTGCCTGCTCTGGGCCCACACAGCAATGGGGGCTTCCCCACCCTCACCCCAACCCCTCTGCCTTTGCCTCCCCATTCACAGCCTTGGTCCTTCCAGATCACTGCTGCCCTCCGGGGCTTTGGCAGGAACTGCTAAGTGCAGAGGGAAGTGGACCCAGGAGGGCAGGACCCAGGGCTGTCCTGCCCCCACTGTGTCCCCCAAGCCACCCACACAGTTCGGGGCCCAGGACAGGAGCCTGAGGGGAGTCCTGGGATGCGTGCATGACTAGGAGGGACCCCTGGGCACTGTGGACTCAGCGAGGGAGAGGAGTGGCCCAGTCCTTTCCTGGGCAGATGCACTGTGCCCGGCTCTGCCTGCTCTCAGGGCCTTTGCACAGGCTGCTCCCTGCCCAGAACACGCGGCCCCTCACTGCTTCCTTCCAGATTTTACTCAGCCCTCCAACATCAGCTCAGAAACGTCCTCCTCCAGGAAGCCCTCCCCGAACCTAGGCTGGGCCAGGCACTCCCTTTGGGCTCCTCATCCCAGCATGGCCACTCTGGGTCATCACTGCACAGCTAACCACCCCCACCCACCACCCACCCACCCAGATGATGATGAGCTCAGTGCAGGCCAGGACTGGGCTGTCCTGGTCAGGCTGTGTCTGTCCCTGCATCAGCTGTCACAGGGCAGGGCAGAAAGCAGGTGCTCAGAGAAATGGATGAACCACGAGCAGATCCCTCACTCATCTCCCCGCTCTGAGTGCCTCTGACACCAAC